CCGAAACTCAAAACACGGTGTGCAACATGTTGATTTTTCATTTACATTACACAAATCATCGAGTTCCGAGTGCCGAGGGCCAAATCCCAAATCCTGAAAATATGTGCGCAACATGTCCATTTTTTACTTGTTGCACAAATCACCGAGTTTTGAGTGCTGAAACCTGAAACTCAAAACCCGGCATGCAACATGTCCATTTTTCATTTATATTACACAAATCATCATGTTCCGAGTGCCGAGGGCCGAGACCCGAAAATATGTATGCAACATGTCCATTTTTCACCTGTTGCACAAATCACCGAGTTTTGAGTGCCGAAACCTGAAACTCAAAACCAGGTGTGCAACATGTCCATTGTTCAATTATATTACACAAGTCATTGAGTTCCGAGGGCTGAGGCCCGAAACCCGAACCCTGAAAATATGTGCACAACATGTCCATTTTTCACTCACTGCACAAATCACCGAGTTTTGAGTGCTGAAACCCGAAACTTGAAACCCGGCATGCAACATGTTTATTTTTCATTTACATTACACAAATCATTGAGTTCTGAGTGCTTTGGGTCATGTCCATTTTTCACTCATTGCACAAATCACCAAGTGTCAAGTGTCAAAACCTGAAACCCAGTACTTCAAATGGACATGAATTGTATTTGTATGTATTATCCATTGGTGTAGGGCTCAAATAACTTGGGAATTGTATTTGTCAGTACTCAGCACTCGGTGCTTGGTACTTGGTACTTGGTACTTGGTGATTGGTGATTGGTAGTCAGTGGTCAGTACTCGAGACTCAGGTAGTCAATATAGGCAAATGATAATGAAAAATGACAGTTGTAGTCCATGTCAAGGTGAGTGTCTTGGTAGTCTTTCCTTGTCATTCGGCAAAACCTCAGCAATAATGAAAAAATGAAAGTTGTTATTATGCTTAACTTCCTTACCGAAGGTTGTAGTCCAAGTCCAGGTGAGTGTAGTGGTAGTCTTTTCTTGTCAATTGGTTATCTTGTTACTCATTACGCAGTACTCGGTACATGGTAATTGGTACTCAGTATTTGGTTGTGCTACTCAGTATCCAGGAATTAGTAGTCAGCTTAATGAAGGTTGTAGTCCGAGTCTAGGTGAGTTTGTTTGTAGTCTTTTCTCGTCCATTGGTTACCATGTGACCAAGATATAAGCTAAAGAAATCCAAAACACCAATAATGACAAATGAAATACATGTGTGCAGTAAGTGAGTCTAAAGATAAAAGAATGAATATTAATAGCGAGACTTGCACATTATGTCGAGATATACAACATAACAAGCCTGTGATGTGATCAGAGACCTGGAATAACACCCATATACATCCATTATAATAGCTTAAAAGCTTAGAAAGATTCATGAAGGATTGATGTAATGATAGGCAAAATGACATATGTGTGGTGAGTGACAATAGACATCTTTTATACAAAGTCACATTTATATATGATTCAGGCCGAAAATATCATTACAAATAACTTTCATTTTTCATTATCGCTGATGTTTCAGATTTCTTTAGCTTATATCTCAGTCAAATGATAACTGATGGACAAGAAAAGACTACCAATACACTCCCCTAGACTCGGACTACAACCTTCTGTAAGGAAGTTAAGCGTAATAACAACTTTCATTCATTATCATTTGCCTATATTGACTACCAACCACCAACCACCAACTACTGAGTACCGAGTACTGAGCACTGACAAATACAATTCCCAAGTTATTTGAACCCTACATCAATGGATAATACATACAAATATAGAATTCATGTCCATTTGAAGTACTGGGTTTCGGGTTTCGGCACTCAGCACTTGGTAATTTGTGCAATGAGTAGATGGGCATGTGGCATACATGTTTTTGGGCTTCGGGTTTCAGGATTCGGCCCTCAGCACTCAATGATCTGTGTAATGTAAATGAACAATGAACATGTTGCACACCCGGTTTTGAGTTTCGGGTTTCGGCACTTGAATCTCGGTGATCAGTGCAACAAGTGAAAAATGGAAATGTTGCATACATATTTTCAGGTCTTGGGCTTTCCGGTGAAATTGTGGTCCCGGATGAACCAGGCAACCTCCTGCCAGCATATGATTCTTCTGATGAGGAGATGGAGGTTGAGGTGAAGGTTGATCGTCCTGGTGAGAAGGTTGAAATGGCTACATAATTGCTCAGTGATAGATGTACATAAATCTTTTTCAATGCATGTTACCTATGCCACAATTGAATGATTCAATCATTGAGTTCCAATATCCAGAACTAGAAACTGTAGATTGAGGTAGATATCACCCGAAACCCGAACACCCTAACACCCGAATGTCAAATTTTCACAGTGCCGAACCCCGAGTGCCAGGTGCCGGGTGCCAAGTCCCAAAACCCAGAACTCAGGACTTGACATTTGAAATGAAACACATTTTTCAGACATGTTTGAATCTGCCTACATATATCCATAAACATTTTACTAACCCCCGAACCCTGACAAATATCTTTGTCCAGTCCCACATATCGAGTCCCGAGTTCTGGGACCCCCAAACCCCAAAACCCAAAACCCAGCAGTCCACAATTTCAGGGTTTGGGGGTTGGTAAAATGTGTATGGATATATGGAAGGTTGATTTAAACATTTTTGAAAGATGTTGCATATGAAATGTCAAGTCCCGAGTTTCAATTTCCGGGTTTCGGGAGTGCCGAGTCCCAAAGCCCGGAGTCCCAAAACCCAGAGTTATGTCAAATTTTCAGTGCCAAACCCCGAGTGCCGGGTGCCAGGTGCCAAGTCCCAAAACCCGAAAACCCAGAACTCAGGATTTGACATTTGAGACAAACATCATTTTTCAGACATGTTTATATGAATCTATGTATATCTATAAACATTTTACTAACCCCCAAGCCCTGAAATATATTTTTGTTGTCTCACATCCCAAGTTCCGAGTTCCGGGACCCCGAACCCCGAAACCCGGCAGTCCACAATTTCAGGGTTCAGGGGTTGGTAAAATGTGTATGGATATATGGAAGGTTGATTTAAACATTTTTGAAAGATGTTGCATATGAAATGTCAAGTCCTGAGTTTCGATTTCTGGGTTTTGGGAGTGCTGAGTCCCGAAACACGGAGTCCCGAAGCCCGGAGTCCCGAAACCCGGAATTCAAAACTCAGGACTTGACATTTGATGAGACATCTTTCAAAAATGTTTAAATCAACCTTTCATATATCCATACACATTTTACCAACTCCCGAACCCCTAAATTGTGGACTGCTGGGTTTCGGGGTTCAGGGGTCCTGGAACTTGGAACTCGGTATGTGAGACAACAAAAATATATTTCAAACATGGGTAAGTCAATGTGTTTGTCAATCAACTTGATTGTAAATCAAATTTTATTGATCTCCCCAAATTTCCCAAGTTCCGAGTTCTGAGTTCCAGGACCCCCGAAACCCGGCAGTCCACAATTTAGGGGTTCGGGGGTTGGTAAGAACTCGGGAAATTTGGGGAGATCAATAAAATTTGATTTACAATTGAGTTTATTGACAAACACATTGACTTACCCATGTTTGAAATATATTTTGTTCTACATACCGAGTTCTGAGTTCCGGACCCCCGAACCCCCAGACTGCCGGGTCTCGGGTTTCGGGGTTCGGGGGTCCAGAACTCGGCACTCGGTATGTAGAACAAAATATATTTCAAACATGGGTAAGTCAATGTGTTTGTCAATAAACTCAATTGTAAATCAAATTTTATTGATCTCCCCAAATTTCCACAAGTTCTGAGTTCCGGGACCCCTGAACCCCGAACCCCGAGACCTGGCAGTCTCGGGATTCGGGATTCGGGGGTTGGTACATCTTGGTTTGGGGTTTGGCACTGAAAATTTGACATATATATTTTTGTGAGTGTTGTGCTTCTGGTGTCTATGCTTATAAATAGGATATGTTGCACACCAGGGTTCAGGTGTGGGGTTTTTCCACTTCAGTCCTCGATTATTGGTCAATGCCACACATGGTCGATTCATGTTTTTGTGCTTGGGGGTTTAGATTTGGTGGTCGATGGTAGGTATATGCACTCATAGTGTACATGTATCCTATGTGTTTGATTCGCTGGTGGCTACATCAGCTGTATGTCTTGATGGAACATATCTAGGCTCACCCATATATGTACCCATCTATGTACAATTCCCCCACATCAGCCCACCCATCTATGCATTATCCCCCACCTCGGCCCACCCGTCTATGTAATACATCCTATGTTGGCCCACCCGTCTATATAATTATACCCCACCTCGGCCCACCTGTCTATGTAATAAATATTTTATCGCACCCTCGGCCCACCCGTCTATTTGATATCCCTTTCGTCGGCCCACCTGTATATGTAATACTTTTTATGTCGGCCCACTTGTATATGTAATACACCCCACATCAGCCCACCCATCTATGTAATATTCCCCTACCTCAGCCCACCCATATATGTAATACACCCCCGTCAGCCTGCCCGTCTATATAACAATATTTGCCTTACATCTCTCTTCAGCCCAGCTGTCTATAATATCCTACTCTACATATTACCCAGATGGGCCCACCCATCTCCATGAATGATCATATTCCCCCGGCCCATCCGTCAACATCAAGGATATATATATCATTGGCATACATGGGCCCACCCATCTCCATCGGAAATAATATGTGTCCCGGCCCATCCGTCATCATCGAGAATATACACAACATGGGCCCATGATCCGCTGGCCCGTCTCATACGGGATATTATGGAGGTTAGGTGGCCCATATAATACGGAATTTGTCACTGAAGGGGCTCAGTGCGAGGTGAGCCTTGTGTGGAGATGTTGCTGTGGGAGGGAATGGGTGGCGGTTTGGAGGTTTGGAGGTTGTAGATGAGAAGTAGATGGAGATGAGTCCAAGGGCGTTCACAGGGATGAGTTAGCATGATGTAATGACTCGGCCTGCTAGCTGTCAAATCAGACTCGTTGAAGATATGTCATATTATTAGTACTCACCAATCAAATGCGAATTACATGTCCAGCCTGCAAATGTATTTCCTTCACCCGGAGGAACATGTCGGTATCAACCGTGTCAACGACAAGGTAGTCAAGGCTGGCATCATGCACTAGAAGTGCCCTGCGAATGATCGACCTGACCGAGAAAAATTCAGCTTGTGCTCGTGGCTTTGCTCGAACCCTGAAAAGATTGAGCTGTCCATCCTTTCGAAGTCGCGTACCTGTGCGAGCATCGAATGGATGGACAAGAGCAAGCGGAAACAGATCCTCTCCAACTGGGCAATCAAAAAGGAAGAGCAGACGTCCAATGATGACATTCGCATGGGTCTGAATGAAGACACAATCGAAGCGGGGTGCATTATAGAAGCATGGGTTGCACCGCAAGTAGTCCATGTGTTGCCGCCAATCTACGAGGGACTCGAAGTTCACTCGCAGAAATTGATGTGCAGTAACCTCATTTGCATCATAATCAGCATGGTAATAAGCTAATAAAATGAAAACTTACTGCAACATCTGATTTGAGGTGAATTCTCTTTCCATCTGGAAGGGGTATGTTGCAGGCAGGGAGAAAGTCGTTTAGAAATGAGTTGAGCTTGACACGGAAGTTGATGAATGCGTCATTGTTCTGGTGAGTATCCTCAATGAGAGCAAATGTCTGTGGAGCCTGGCTGGAACCGAGTTTCACATGCAGAGACCCATCGACGTTCAAACCAGGGAGGAAGTCACTTGCAGGGCACTGAGCATCTTCATCTTCATCTTCATCTTTGTCATCATCATCGTTTGCTTGGCCTTGTGATGTGAACATTAGATGGTCATCTAAGTCCAAGAGACGATGACGAATATCGTCTGCAACATGAAACCAGTGATCCATTCGAAGGATCTATGATTGTAGTATAGGACCAGTCAGGAAAAGTAAGACTTTAATGATAGGTAGCTGCCTCACCTGTTCTGCAAAATCTTTAAAGTTAGTTCATTCCTGGTACCAGTCCTTCAACAGTCCATGCATCTGCTCGTTTGGCTTTGTATTGTAATTCCTTGAAGCTCCTTTGGCCTCGATGTCGTCAAATAAGTGCATCAACATGTGCAACTTCGGAAAATTCCAATCCTTGTCTGATTTGTCATCATCCTCAGTTTTAATGATACATTGCTACTACAATGTTAGTCTACATATATCTAACATGTAGTTGCTAGAAAAATTGAATGCACCTTCATAAGTGCTGTCAGGGCCTGGACAGCACCTCTCCCTGCGCTGATTGTTGCAGTTGTGTGAACTTCAAATGCAGCATATATATCGGCCTCAAGGTAAAGTTGCACACATCGGAGCAAAAGGTATCCAAGTGGTGATTCGTCCTCCATCAGGATGTTATGCATAGCATAGATGATCATCTGCAAATACATTGAATTTACTGAACAAACATATTGAAGTCACAACGAACCTTCAAAATATCTTCATGCATGGCACTGTCCGCAAACGAAACATTCATCACTTGGTTTGGGTGCCGTAGATCCCGCCAGCGAGGGAATGCTTGATATCTAATATAAATGATGATTTGAATCAGATAGAAATAACACATTACATAGCCAAAAAAACAGACGCACACCTTATCAACTTGTGATACTTTTGCTCGTCCGAGTCTTGCTATGTATTTCTGCAGTTCAACCCAATAGTGACATGACCAAAGCTCGCCATGATTAAAGTGGCATCGGTCATGCGACAACACCCTATGGACATCCGAGTATTGTATGGCCCATAGTGCATTCTAACAATCGTAAATTTTAGCGTGTTTCAAGCAGAAATGAGATCACACCTCAATGTTACGTAGTCCTAGTACTTTTAGAACCTCCTCTTGCTCTTCTATGGTATCTTTTGCTCGTGCAGTTGTTACTGCAGCACGTGAATCATCCGCAGTCCGGCGCATGTATGTCTTCGAGGTATCACTGAGTGCATCTTGAGGGACAAGACATATGGGACATGGCCATAGGCTCATGACTCCTCGTGTTAGCGATATCACGCACCTGTAGATCATTGTTAGCAAAAATCAGGGATACAGTCAGTACTCACTGCTCCTCATAGTCAGCAGACAAAATAAGCACATAAGGAAAAACCAGCATTCAACGCCATCCATGCAAGCAAACCATTGTCCCACCCTCGATTTCGATGCTAACGACAACGTGATTCTTTGAAACAACTCGTGCCAGACCGCGTTTTTGAAGTTTACCCAGCTGGGCTTTCCAGCATAGTCCTTATCTTCCTTTACCTATTTGTACACTGTCAGTCTGACAATGATGAGAGAAAATGTTAATTCCTACAATTGGTAGCCATCCTACCACGTAGCCGCTACCGGTGTCTCGTCCATTTCGAATACCAGTGGGCAGATTCGCTAAATGTGCAACCACAGGATAGCCCTTCACTGTCCCAAATGATGATAGTCTTGTTTTGTCAGCGTATAGTATGAAGGCCAAGGGCTTCCCACCTGGCAGTAATTGTGACTACAAAAGCACAACATGATGTTATTCTAACAACAAGCGACTAACAAACAGTGTTAATACATACTTGTACATCCCAGAAATCCTGCGCAGTGTATGGTTTGTCTGTGAAGCGAACAAAAGTCTCCCCATCAAACTTAGATAAGTGTTGCGTGTCAAACGTGAAATGTGGAAAAATGTGAGGGTCCCCAAGTAGGTCACTAGCTAATCCCCAGAGATCCCTGTAATGTAGGTCAAAGTTCCACGTTTTGCCGTTGTATGGGACCGAAATGACTTCCTTGGTAAACTGCACTTTGAAAATGATCAGTCTGAATTCTGAAGACGGAATGAGATACCACCTTAGTAATGTGAAAAGAAGCCGCTTCCCACTTGACGTGGATGTCTTTGTGGTTCTTGAATGTGAAATTTTCCTTCCCAATGGCGCAACAATGACATATTTGATAAGTCGGTTTGTTTGTTCATTATTTAAACCCGCCTCAAGGGCAAGTTCAGCGACTTCGAACTCAACTCGGGAATGGAATGAATGCCAAGGCTCGGTATTAGAAGGGGGTTCCAAAGGGACCGCAGGACGATGTTTGAAATCATTAAATGCATATACTTCTGCTTCAATATTGCTACTCGGGTGATGCTCCATCTTGATATCATCGCGTGAAAATGTGCGCGCAGGTTCAGGCTCATGTACTGGATAGTCTATATAATTTCAATGTCAATAGTATTGATGATTCAAGTTATGATATTGACTCACCAACATCATATGCGAAGTCGACGTGGTGGTCAACATTGATGGTCCTTTCGCTTGGTCCAGGTATTGGTGGGCTGATTCTGATTTAGACGCTGTCCGTCTAACTCAGAACCGAGTGCTGAATTTGTTGCTGGATAACAGATCTTCAGCGTCGACATTGTAACACAAGGTTGACGTACCCTTCTCCTGCCTAATAGCATCTACGATAAGCTGATCTCGACGTCTCTTTTCTGCTATCACCTCACATGCCTTCCGGTGAGTGGTCCATCCTCGGGGTTTGATGTCCTGGGAGCATAGTTCACAGAGCCTGGTACGATCGGGGGCCATTTCATTGATGAAGACTTGACGAAGGGTTGGTGAAAGCGAAAAACACACTGATGGGTGTCGATAATGGATTAAGACATCATATCAATCAGCTTGTAATGGATTGAAACTCAGCATGTAGCATTACCTAATCATTTCAGGGCGCATTGAAATGACATGTAAATAATGACTCATTGCAACGACTTTCGCAAATGTCCGACATAGTAAAACCCTGATACATTAATCACTACAAGTCATAGGGTGGGCTGATACTATTCGTTGCAATTGTATTCCTCTGTCGTCGTCAAATGACTTGATTCTCATCCAAACTCTTGTCATCGTTATCATATACACTAGGGCTCCGTGAAAAACTCGGCTCGAGGTTTATGACATGTTTTTAACTCAGGCCTATCCTCGAGGGGTTTTTGACACGAGTTAAAAACTAGTTTTTCACAAGTTTTTTACAGAGTCTAGAAACCAGTTTTTCAAGCTATTCTAACATGTTTGAGCTACGACAAAGTGAATGCCTATTGTACAGGCCCTCCCAAAGGCAGCGTCGAAGTATCAGATTCATTCTGCGGAGGTGCTGTGTGGGAGCCTTCTAACAAGGCATGTACCCACTTTCTTCTTTGCAGACTTGTAGTGATACACTGCAGCACGCCATAGATCCTTGGCCCATTTTTGGAGCAATGCCGACTCTGGAAGGAACAATATTAATTTCTGAGTCATTTCCGCATGTCACGAGCTAGGAAAATGACGGCGAAAACGTGTGCACACAGACTACAATTCCCACCTAGCCAACGACGCGTCAACGTTTCAACATTGGCGCAGTCACTTTATCTGCTCACATTTCGCATGTTTCTCACTATCGGTTATCAGTCTGGTCAATCGCGTTCGAAGTTTGAAACCACATTCTGTTCTGTTTGAGAGACTAGGGAAAAACAAAACTCATGCAAACCACTCCCAACTTGAAACTTGAAGGCCCACCCACCACAAGTCCAAAGCATCGAAAACTACCCAATATCCAAGGCTCAAGGTGGTGCACGGAAAGATTGGCAAAGACCTTCCCAAGCAGAAGGATGCGGGAGCACGCAAACACCTCGTGGCATAATCCATATACAGACTAAACCCTCATCGGCAAACGTGCTTTTGATACACGATATGAACGTGCAGAGAAAGAAATCTCGTAGTAGATTTCCAGCGGTTCCAAGAGCCTGGGGCGTAGTAGTACTTATTTTGACGCGCCTTGAAAGTTGTTCAAAAGGTTAGCCAACACAGTTCCGAGTCCAGTCCCAATCTGAATTTCTACAGGTCTTATTAGTATTGACGTCCAAGGTTACCTTCCGAATGCATAGGGTTGCGTGGGATGTTCCACCTTGATATTTATATATCACTAGACGGTGCGTGTACATTCTATGCTTCATATCGGTTGATAAGTAGCCAGAGCGAAGGTCATATATTTGCGGGCTTATGCAATAGGCACCAGAGAAATGACATCCAACTTGAAGGGCGAGGTCCCTAATCACCTCTATTCAAACCATATTGAAGACAATCGTCGGAACTCGTTCCTCCTGCGGCTTCAAAGGCAAATATTATAGCTCCGGCAGACTAATTGATAGACGAAAGCGACGCATCACGATACAGCGACCGAATGTCTCCACGATAACCATTATCAAAGATTCAAACCCCATCTCACCTGCTGCGGATGAACCTATGCAAATTCTGTCACAATATCACATTTAATAATGCACAGAAACTGGCACAGATGCCCACACTTTCCACACCTCCCAGTTGGATTGTAGATTCGTGATGACTAGCCTCCCTGCAGATACGAGCGCTTTCATGTCAGCAGCACTGGAGAGCATTTTATATGGTGAGTATCGCAATGGGTTTCTCCGTTTCATACTCACCAAGCTAGGCTCCCCTCTTCAGGCTTTTCAATCCTCATGTTTATCGGTACCGTCTGGGCTTTGACTTACAAGCGTCGAATGCGAGACGTCAATCGCCCAGTTGCTGTGGTGACTGTCCTGTTATTGCTAGTGAGCACCGCAGTTAGTTTCCTGCTTTCAACTAGCATGATATTATTGGCTGACAATTCCGAAGCACATAATCATGACCATCATTCATGTCGAAAATGGCCTGGTGAAATATCGCGATACATGGCCAGGCGGGCCAGCGGCGTTCTTCACAGACATTACGGAAGAGACGTACGTGATTAAGCACGCACTATACATTTCCCAAACTGTGCTTGCTGATGGTTTGATGGTGCGTTCTTGTGTAAATCTGCGTTTGAAACTCTGAGCTTACAGGAATGTCTTGTCTGGCAAAAGATTTATCGCTGCTATGCTCTTTGGCGATCCGTCCGTGTAATCATCGTACCGAGTTTGCTGTGGTGTGCTGTCGTAGGTCAGGTTTGAATATTATTCTGGAAGTCGCATACTCTCATATTACCACGCAGTGACTGGCATTCGTGCTGTCTACGGGACTTCACAAGCCACTTCTGATCCCGGAGACGTCTTCGCCATCGACGTCGAAAAGTGGATCGTAGCATTTATTGTATTGACTCTTACAAGCAATTTGCTATGTTCAGGTAAGCACGTCCCCGCGAGCGCAATATCGAGGCCCTGAAAGTGTTTAGGACTACTGATATATCGTATCTGGAACATCGAACGTCGCGTTTCTAAAATACGTGCTTCGAATAGCACTATGATGCCAATTGTGCGTGTGCTTGTGGATGCCGCTGTTTTGTACACTGTAATGCTGCTCGGCCTTCTGATCTGTTTCCTCGCCGAGAACGATGGAGAATCAGTTTTAACGGACATAGTGAATCTGCCGTTTACCTCTTTCATAGAAAATAACACTGAGCTCTGATTGACTAGGCCGTGCCTGTCGTATCGATCACATTCTACATGGTCATTATTCGTATCACGACCAGTTGTCGACATCACCTCTCGACTGCCAGTACTAGCCGAACCACCGAGGAGATGGAACAGAGAAAAATGCAGCAATATCAGACGAAGTCCTTAGAGGTCCATATATCCCGATGTACTCAGGATGATAGCGCCTCGACTTACAAGGTCGGGGACGAAGACCGACCATCGACAGGGATTGAAGAGATTTAAAAGGGTATTTTGTAGTCGATATGAAATGATTAGCATGAATGCCCTACACCGCTGTTTCCTCCGGACATTAACATTTGGCCTATCTGCCATAGTGCTATTATTAGTGGCGGAGGTTTTGTTTGGTGACACATGCCAGAAATATGGTAGCTTATATACGATAGCCCCGTTTCCAGGCTCCCTTTGAGCGCTAGACCATTGGTTAACCAGCGGTCCAACCCCCAACCTCCCCGAGTCGTTTGTACAAGTCACTCCACCGTAGTCTCGCCTGTGTGTCGACCAAACGATATATGCAGGGCGGCAGAATGAGAAAGAGGTATTCAGCGTAGCTGGAGAAGGTAAATATAAAGAAGGTTTGGTATATCGCGCTGCCGCCTCCTTTCCCGATGTACCTACTCCCTAAGGATACCCACGCAAACCTCGACCCCCTTCGCTCCGTCACCCACGAATGCCCCCCTGACCCTCTCACACGCCCACCGCGTAAACTTCAATACCTCTTCATCACACAACGAAGACGGGACATGTGGTGAGAGCGTGATTATCAACTGCGGTTCTGGCCCTCTTGGCGAGTCGGAAGAAGGGGATGAATCAGAGCGTGAGAGAGCAGATCGTGGCGTAGACGGGAACGCCGCCGAGAAGGCAGACCCTGGCGCAGACTGTAATCCAGAAGACCTCATCTCGCCCTGTCCAAGCGGACACACCTGCCATACATGCGGAGCAGGGAGACTTGTGACGTGTTCGTGTCGCTCAATTTCACGGACGACGCGCCAGAAGGATTCCATTTGAGATTCTAGGGTGTTTATGCCTTTTGCGCTTATACCCGTGCCTTTCGTGCCTATACCACCCACGCCGCCGGCACTCATTACAAACGACGCTGCAGGTGCAGTTTGCAATAACACACCGCCTAGGACTATACACGCTGCGTATGCGACGTGCGTGGTGACGATGACCTGGAGAGTTGCCAGAGAAAGGTCGAAAGGTGTGTAGTGTGCGCTGCGTGGAGAGTTAGCGTAGGTTATATCACCGAGCAAAATGATTTGAAGGTAGGCCGTTGGGCAGGAAAGAGTGTCGCAGAGAAAGGTCGTGACAAGAATGGATGAAGTTGAACAAAAGCCCTCGTCGAACAACAAGTACTCACACATTCAAAACCATCTCACCCCCCAAAATCGCTACACAAAACAGAATCGGGGGAAGGGCGTACGGGTTCCTCAGTATCCTCTCCCATGGCGCTTGCGCTTGTCCTCTTCCTGGGACAGAGAATGATGGATGGAGTCGGGGGTGCTGGAATAGAGAGAGCGGGGATGGGAGGTGCATGTGTTTGTTCGTTACTTGCGAGAGGTGTTAGTTGGGGTTCAAGGAGGGAAAAAAGGAAGAGGGATAGGGGACAAAGGAGGGAAGGGTGTGCGTCAGAGTCACGAGTATGTGATCAATCTTCAGAAACATAACCTATGAACACCATTGCGCACCCAACCAGAATAAGAAATGAACAGCGAACGAAATGGAGCTACAGATGAAACGAAAACGAAACTCGGACAAAACAAGAACCACATGAAAAGAAGGGACGATCGAAAACACACACCTCTAACTAACACATCATGATGCTCAAACGCAATGGAAGTAGCGAGGAGGGAGAGGAGGACCATGATAACGAGACCGAGGGGGTAACACAGTCTGTGTACGAGGTCGTTGGCGTTGGAAGTATTGGCATTATATGAGACGCAACGCAGATCCCCCGCACAAGAAGCAGAAAAATAGAAGACCAAAACAAAACAAGAAGTCCATAAGCTTCGCCAAAGCAAACAAGAGAAGAGAAAACGTACCCCAACATCTCAGGCCTCTCATCCCCCCAATGATGATGATGTCCATCATTTCCCATCTCGCTTGCGCCGTGCAGACCCAGGCCTCGCGTGATGCCCCCAGCTGCGTTCAGTGATGCATTCGAACCTAACATTGATGCAGCGGAGGAGAGGGAGGGGGAAGGGCGCCCGTGCCCGTGTCCGTGTCCCGCAGAAAGTAAAATATGTTCGACAGCTTCTTTGGCTACGTAAACGCCCGCAAACATGAGGTAGACACATTGGGCGAAGAGGAGAGTGGTTTGTGTGCGTGCTGGGCTGGGTAGGGGGTTAGTTTGGGCGGGTAATATGGAAGGGTAGAGAGGATACAAGGTTGCGAGAAACATAAATATATGTGCGGTTGCGCAAACGACGAAGCGATATGTGCATGGGGACGACTGAAGAACAAAACTCACCCAAACCCACCCTTGTTTCTACCAAGAAGAGGCCCGCCCGCTGCGATGCCAAACGCATCAAACACGACCCAATAGCCTAGGCCTGTACACGCCAACGACCCGATAGCCTGTCCGCGCACCCAGACCAACCCGCCCAAGCAGAATTGCAGCATGCATGCAACTCGTGCCAAAAGACCGTCTTTGCTTAGATTCCAAGAAAATTGGTTATGATAAGGCGAGGGAGAGGATGCGGGTGATGCTGAGCTGGAACGAGAGCTGGTGCCCGTTGTGAATTCGACTTTGCTAGAGCTTACGCCCTCCCCGCCTTGGACGTTGCTCACCGAACTCCATGGGGACATCGGAGCAGGGGTAGGAGCCGTGTGCAACTCCTCAGGTTTTGTTACCGGTTGTGATTGACGAACAGGGTCAAGGAAAGAAAAGAAGTTATGAGAAAGGGAATGTTTATGGTGATGGCCTCTACGCGCTGTCACGCTAGCTGGGACTGCACCTGCAGAGTTTGACTTGGAGATAGAACCCGAGGAGCCGAATGAAAAAGAAGCTGTATGATCATGTCCGATCTGAAGGGGCTCGCTTTGAGATGCGGGTATATGAAGGTCGATTTGGGATTGTGAATTGATATTTGAGGCAGATTCGACGTCTGCAGGGAGATCTTCAGAGATAGTTGCATGTGAGCGGGGAAAGAATATCGATAAGTTGCGCGAATGCATCCGGTTGTGTCTTCGTCCGTGTCCTCTGAGTCCTTCTGGAGGGTCGTCAAGCTGACCCGGTTCAAACGGATGAAGTGGGACATGGAACGTGTTGGCGAGTGGGGATGGCACGGGTGGCATGAACGGACCCGAAGATATGCTTCGTACTCGACCATGAGATGCACGGAAGGGCGAGCTAGGCGGTGAATTTAAAGAAATGCTAGGTGGACGTCTACCTGTTGGTTGACGTGCTGGTATTCCTGGACCAAGCTGTGGTTGTCGAAGACTAGCAGGCGCTGCTGTCAACGTAGGCGCCGTTGTTGGCTCATTGTCTGGTATGAGCACAGACATGTCACCATCGTCCACGTCTTCCTTGCTGGACTTTCGGCGGTGCATGGTCGCACTGCTAAAGTAATTGTGATTCTAAAGAGAGTGGAATGGAGAAGGAGCGGCTGAATGGTAAGTTAGTAGTCGTTTAATTTTACGTGCTGAGCGTTTATTTGGACTTGCACATCCTTTAAATTCTTACATCAACCACCATCCAACGTCAATTAAAGACAATAATATGCGACGACGACGGTGACTCCCTCGGCCATGAATCAAAGGTCCTACTCCTGTCATTAATATCGGTACATGATGCATCCCTTGTATCTATTCATGCGAATGCATGACATACACGGTCGACTGGTATGTCGGCGGTCTCTGTCGACTTCACACCGTGTCCTTTTAGCTCTATGAAACTAAAGGTCCGCGTCCTCATCACACATGATTACATCACCTTGCAGTATTCCTGCCTTCTACTATCCGTTTCTTCTGTCTTGGCATGACACAAGCAGGGTTTGGTAATGTCAAATCCAAGCCAAGCCGAGTTCTTAAAGGTGCTACACCTGTCTATGCAACGACTCAGCTAATCTGTTCACCTGAGTAGGCGATAATCAAATATCAACGCCGCTTTTACGTCTCATATTGACCCGGATGGTTATCCGGTCGCCCACTGTAATTTCTCATCGACCGAGAACTTGAATGGTACTAGTGGACTCGCGCAGGATGGTCCTGAATTACTGATCGACCATTTGAGCAAGAGGGCGTGAGATGTAGGTTGGAGGGGTTATTTCGTTCAATAAGCACCCAGGTCCGAGCGCAAGACGGCGAGCAGGCAGACTCTCCCGATATCCACTTAATCGATAGCAAGAACTTTAATAAGCGGTCACTGGTAAGGGACGTTGCGGACTTTTAAGCCACTCATTCTCGAGGTCCTACGACGTTTGGAAGATGCGCTTTACTCGTCATCGCGTTAAACTATGGCATGTTGGTTTTCATCATACAATACGATCGCCCTGGAGGCAAGTGCTGTACATATTTGTGTGCCCATTGATCCTTTTCTTCGTCCCCAGGCCTGGGTCTTGAAGCATCGTTCGCACCAGTTCCAACTTCAGCACCATAATCCCTGAATCGAACTTCGTATCCGATACGTCTTCCTTGTGTACATTTGCGCTCTCATGTGAGTCGAGAAAAAAAATCGTGCACACTTATACTCCCTGAAATCGCGTGCATAGCTGATGAATTGGCATATTTCCGGCCATCTTGGAATTTTGCGTTGCCAGCTCTTTGTGACAGCACTTACTCACTCTGTGTTAAGGCCCCAAAACACAATCATTGACTCAGCGTCGTACTTGCCAATCGGCATATAATCGGCGACTTTACGAGTATGGCACTGAGTGATGCGACCATCAATGACTGACTTCGCAAGAAGGTCGTTTGGGGCTATTCAGTTGCCCTCAACTCCATTGGTACCCTCATTGGTCGAGGATAAATCAAACTCATTGAAGCCGATGAACATTCTCGCTCATATAACACGCCGGAAGAGGAGTATAGTCTTTGTGAAGACGTACGCATTCGATGCTAGAGTATTGTCATCTTCAAGTCATCTCAAGGGTCCAGCAGTGCTCGGAGCTGAGGGTACCCAGATTAGATGATATCCCCTTCGAAACGCCATGGCTGCGCGCAAGCGTAACGACCCGCAGCATAATTTTGACGTAAATGCGAGGAACGCGCGCGGTACCAACAGGTGTGGGACTAAATGGTGATGGTGCGTTTTGGGCTGTTGCAGCCATAGAGGCAAATGGAACGGGCTGGTGGTGATGATGGCCGTAAGGTTCCGTGTATTGCATTTGAAATTTGAAACATAGCATCCTACTCATTCTTATTATCATTCCAGAGATTTCTGCTATGTTGTATTGCGACAGTCGTGTAGCATAATTGATCATCACAGGGTAGACAGCCTCACCGTATCAGACTTTCTTTCCAAACCTGATGCACGCAGACCTGAAATATCACCCGAACTTTGTGCAGACTAATCCAGAAGAGGTGCATCCTGCGGCCGCAACCGAGATTGTCTAATCTCAAGTAAGAAGGAAAGTTATACTTTTTCGGTACCAATGTGATGCTAAAATCCCTTCAAGATCAGCCTGTCTGTGAAATCCATTGAGACACAACAAGCTATGTTTTGCTACCAGATCGATCATCAAGCTCAGCCTGATGGATCAGTGATCCCATACCCATGATAACGCAATTCGTTTCTATATAACGTGTATACCAAACTGACGAAGATGTACACACCGCTGCACATTCCTAGTTTTCGCCATGACTTCAAATGGTATCCCGTTAGATGCTGGTGCTTTAATGTCAGCAGTGCTGGAAGGCATTTTATACGGTGAGCATCGCGCATCGGGTTTATTCGTCAAATCTCCATCAAACTAAAGTCAACTCGCCTCCTCAGGCTTTTCAGTGCTCATGTTTATGGGCACCATGTGGTCTTTGACGTACAAACGGCATGTGCGAGACATCAATCGCCCAATCGTCATAGTGGCTATTCTGCTGTTGTTATTGAGTACCGCAGTGAGTCCCTCTCGCTTTTTACGTCTGCGGCATGGCATTTTCTGACATCCATCAAGCACATTATCGTGGGCATTGTTCGCGTGGAAGATGGACTGGTGAAGTATCGCGACACGTACCCAGGCGGGCCAGCAGCATTCTTCGCAGACGTTTCGCAAGAAACGTACGTGGTAAAGGATGCATTATACATCCTGCAAACTCTACTTGCTGATGGAGTTGTGGTAGGTTCATACTTTGATCTGCAAGTCTAGGACCCTGTGAGCTGATAGAAGTGTCTTGTCTGATAAAAGATTTATCGCTGCTATATGGTGTGGCAGTCCGTTTGGGTGATCATTCTACCAGGCATGCTGTGGTGTAGCGTCGCAGGTAAGGTTGCAACGATGCTCAGCTTGAGGAAGTTTTATGATCTGATGTTGCTTCACAGTCACTGGCGTCAGTGTGGTCTACAGTGGTTCGCAATCCAGCTCCGGTGCTAGCATCTTTACCCAAGAATTTTCGAGGTGGATCATAGCGTTCTTTATCTCGACTGTTGTAGCCAATGTATTGAGTTCAGGTAAGGTCGTCTCTGCGAGCGCGATGCAGAGGCTCTGAATGTGTCCAGGATTAATAGCATATCGAATATGGGCCATTGAACATAAGATCGCTACAATTCGCACTAGTACGAAGGACACTATGATGCCAATAATACACGCGCTCGTGGATGCCGCTGTTTTGTACTCGGTGACACTTATCGCCGCATTTATCTGTTTCATCTGCTCGAGCAATGGAGATTTCGTCATGATGGACTTGGTAATCCCTCCTTTAACGCTCGTCATCGAAACACACTGAACTATGATCAACTAGGTGATGCCGATCATATCGATTGCCTTCTATATGGTGCTTATTCGCATCGCCATCAATAGACATCGTAGTTACCTCCCAACTGTAGGGGCGATTACTGAGACGCGACAATCGAGCGATCTGCAGCAGCAGTATCCTATGCAGCCCCTGCAATTCGATATACCACGATTTACGCGCAGTTACAATACTTCAGCGTCCGAAATAGGGAATGAACACCCGTCAGGGAGGAGGTCACCTACCTGGACGTCCGTAAAGTAGATATCAATACCAGGGCCGAACGTGAGGTAAATGGCTAGAGCCTCTCAAGTAAAACATCATAATTCTATTCCCCTTGCTCACGTTTATGTCACATTGAAGATTCTCCAAATCCTCAGAACGAAGACTCGAGGGCAGAAAAGACTTAACACTTTCAATACCATCCCACTGTAAGCCTACGGCTTACTACGTATGACGTCGTCGCCTCTTGATTGGACACCGTCGTTTGTTGTTCGATGTTTGCTCCGACTAGTATATAGACCTCATCGCCCCTTTACCTGTAGCTTAGCTCTTACCACCGCTACCGAATCCCATACGCTCTTCCACGTTATCCGTTGTCTGACCGTTCTGTAGTGTTGACTGTCTACTGTGACAGTCTTCCACCCACCCCTCAAATTGCCATGCAACACAGAATCGGAGGAAGGGCATAGGGGTTCCTTCTCTCATGGCTCTTGTCGACTCGGACTGGGGAGGAGAAGCTATCCATGGTTTCCGAGACGTCAGGTCATGTGTCCGATTGTAGCTTCTAGGAGCGGACATCCTGATAGCTATTCTAAAATTTTGAAAAGATATCGTGGGCAAGCGAGGCTGAGCGGGTAACGGAGTCTGCAGTATGGTGTTGTTGGTAGGACTCGATCGAAGACTGTTGGAATTGCTGCCAGATGTCGAAAACAGAGATGCTGAGCCGATGAGTCTGTTGAGAGCCGATGAACCCGAGGACGGAAAGGCCGAGAGAGGAGGAACCAAAGGAGGAAATGGGACTACGGCTGAAGAGTAAGGCAGCTCGAGGTGCGAGCACCACCAAACGGAGATTCCAGACGACGTGTCAACGTTGGCAATCTTTTCATTCGTTTAGTATATGTTTACATCAAAAAGACCTGCTGGCGCACTCACCATATAAAAGCAGCCAGTCGTCGTTGAAGCATCTCAGATTCGTGAACCGAATACTGAGATGTGAGTGTTCTAGTGTAATGTTTTGAGTACGAAAGCTAACGTATAACGTAGCGTACCTGTCTAGGTAAAAACATTCGTCAATAAAGAGATTCATGAACCGAATACTGAGATCGTACCTGTCTAGCGTGTCCTGAAGCTCCCGCTCGAATATTATCTTCACAGGTTATGAGCCCTGCCCCGGCAATGGACACAACGCTCCCCACTACGAGTTCGAGCCTATTCAATGTTCCCAAGTTAGCCGAAGACGGCACTAACTGGATAACATACAAAGAATGTACCTTAACGGCCATCGGAGCAAGAGGTTTGATGCATTATGTGGACGGCCGGGCAGTACGACCTATACCGTTCCTAGTCGATCCCAAGACTGGGGCCGTAACGAAGAAAGACAGCACTGTTCCCACTCAGACCAAGATCGACGACCTGGATAAGAAGCTGGATGAGTACTATCAGCGAAACTCGCTGGTAAAACAGCAAGTCTTCAGTACCATAACAGATCGCCTGCTCCTACGCGTCCAAAAGCTCGAGGCCGCGTCCGATGTCTGGAAGGAAGTGTGTCAGATACACA